AATGTCTATCAATAATTATACGACCGTATTTCAACATTTTCAAATTATTTTTATAAGCTACGCCCTATTCTGTGGTTACGCTACCAGCAATCAAGGAAGTTTTATCTCTCAGCAATTTTAGTCTAACAAAGTTCAACAGCTTTGCAGCTGTGATTGCTCACAAAACATATAATACAGCTGCAACCTTCAAAATGTGAAGGGTAAAATTGTGTGCAAAATTGACAAAGTACGGATGCGTTATATCGAGTGAAATGGCTAGTATATCCAGCTCGTATAAAGGAAAGAGATGCAGAAATTACTGCACCCCTTACCTCCCAGGTCTCAAAACTTGAAATCAGGTAATCTTATCTATTTAGAAACCTTGGATGGAACCATCTTCTTGATTTTATGGCTGTTGTTAGTTGTTAGTAGGCTTTTTTCGCGACTGAATATTGGTGAATATCTGACGTAGTTATTTATTAGTTTCGTTATTAGTTATTATTTCGATCTCTGTAGTCGTCGTATGGTAGTTTAAATTTCTTAACTCAGTCATACTACATTTAATAACACACGATTTCAGACAAGAAAAATGGCCTAGTAACACTTTTGAAGCCACTATTAAAACTATACAGGGCTGGAAAATCCACATGGTCCATCTGATGCCTTTACATGAGAGCGACAAAGTAAAGTAAAAAATCCGTGCGATAGACAAGGATGGCTATAGTGAAGACGTTTTATAATTTGAATAGTCATCGCCCGTTTCGGGTTAGAAGTGGGAGTGACTATTCAGATTATGAAACGTCTTCAATGTAACCATCCTTGTCTATCGCACGGATTTCTATGACTTACTTTATCGCTCTCAAGGCGGTTTTCCACTAAACGGACAAAACAAAAACAAAACACAAACTTGTGTCGAATAAAACAAAACTATAACTTTTCGCAAACTTTTTGAAGACTGGCGTGTTTTGCGACAGTTGGAATTTTGTTTTTCGGGTCCCGCTCGAAAGCGGTCACATCAAAAGGTTTCGACGTGTTTTGAAACTCAAGTCTGTTTAGTGGAAACGGTCGTGTTGTGTTTTCTATTTAAGTGATTCAACCCAATATCTATGTTGGCGTTTTTTTCTTCAAAATAACAATATTTTAATCATTAATGAATTATAGCTATTAACAAATATATATGTGTACGGTTAAGGTGTTTACTTGGCTAGTATCCAAACTAACTAACTAACCAAATAAACACTTTAACCGTACATATATACACTTACTTTTTTTCTAAGGACTTCAGTATAAACCAGCCATAACTAAGAATAAAAAATCTTCTCTAAACATGTTGTTTGGTTATTGGAAAAATGTTTTCCGACTTCTTCGCGACAACCAGTGGAAAAGGACCGAAGACAAAAACAAAACTCGAAAAAAATGTAACCCGCTTGATGGAAACAAGAGTTTTGGGTTTGTTTCAGTTTTGTTTTTGTTTTTCAGGTTCTAGAAAACACAAACAGGACATAAACTCAACTGTCCGTTTAGTGGAAAACCGCCATCACGTAACGGCCGATGTACCATGGGGACTTTCCGAACCTGTATACAGCAATTTATTTTAAAATAAAATTTTTATCCATTGCAATGTTTCGCCTGAATCAAAAGTAATAGTTTATTCGTAAGGTACTTTCAGAAATTTTACATGTTAAACAAAATGCGCAGTTAGAAACACTACTACTCACTAAACAAAATGCAGCAATTTTCTCCTATTGTGTGATAAAAAGCATGCGATTTTATCCATGCAACAAAATCCCCGCAATTTTGTCGCAGCACCCAAATTGTATTGTCAGATACGGGCTTTAAGCTATAAGTACAAAATGTATAGGTTTTTTTTCTCTACTGTAGTTACTATTTCTATCTCTTTTGATCTTAGTTGGTAGTTTAAATCTCTTCACTCACTCATACTTCAAAATTAATTTAACCCCCTCAACCCCCAAATTAAAGTTGAAATTTATAATGAATTGTAAAAAAAAATTGTACTGTCAGTATATGTATGGAAATATTTTATATAATTTTATACTAATTTAACCCCCTCAACCCCCAAATTAAAGTTGAAATTTATAATGAATTGTAAAAAAAAATTGTACTGTCAGTATATGTATGGAAATATTTTATATAATTTTATACTAATTATAAATAAATATATTAATAATAATTTTACAAAATAATTAATCCTTTAATCAATATACAAAATCCATAATTATATAAAAAGTATGAAAAAATAAAAAAAATAAAAATATTGATTTTTTTGGGG